CACACACACACACACACACACACACGTAGTGTTTGTTCCCCGAGTAGCCCCAATTTTAATAGAATGGAGAACTTGAATAACTGACTGAATAATCCATTAATCAAATTGTTGCTTGCTGTTGCTTAAATTTTAGTTGATTCTTTAAAATGTTAATACAATGTTAAACAAATGTTAAACAATTTTAATAGTTTTAAATTAATTAAAATGAATTAACACAGTAGATTGTTTATCCTGTTCACAGAAAGAAATTATTTGTCCTGATATTGAAATATACATTTCTTTATTGAGATTGTCATTTTTTTCATAATGCTTTTTAAAAATTGGTGATTATTGTGTTTGGCATGCATAAAGTATGGTGAATATAGGCTTTTTTAGGCCTAATACATATGTCCCAGATTACAACGTGACCTGTCCCAGATTATCAAATTCAGGCAGATACATTTTTTTTGGCACAAAAAACACTAATAGGTGTGGCATGTCTCCTCTGGGTATAATATCAACATTCTTTCTTCTGGTGTGGTTAGAAAACATCTTAGGGATTTCAGAAAAGTCTAATGTGTTGATCTAATGTATGATAGATATCGAAATAAATCGCAGAAGTCAAAATTGCAAAAAATGTCCCAGATTACCCGAATTCACCCTCCATACATCTGCTTTGAGAAGACAGGCCTGTTAGAAGACAGTTCACAACATTAACAGCTATGCTGAAGTCTACTGATAAATTTTAATACTGTTTACAGGAACAGCCACCAGAAGGATAAACTACAGTATATTCCTCCTGAAACCTTAGCAAAGCTATTCAACTGAATAACGACTCTGTAACAGGAACTTTGTAATTTAAATGATTATCTGAACATTTAAGTGTTTATCTATTAAGTTAAATTTCACAGTGCTAATCTCACTTCCCTCTATATTTCCAATTATTTCTAATAGCTTAAATAGACAAACAAAAGCCATTATTTAGCAGACTGACTATGATACACTGCCCGTATACAAGCAGAATTGGCAACCCCTGAAAGGTTTTATAAAGGATACTCACAGAAGCCATTCTTGACATCGAAAAACTGCTTATAGTCCTGGTTATTCCTCCAATGCTAAAGATGGATTTTGGATATGGAAAACTGGCACTCGGCTATTATCAAGAGTGCTCAAGTTGAGATCAGTGATATACTGTAAAATGCAAGTCTAAAATGTTTTAGTCATTGTCATTTAAATGCATTATGTGGTCCCAATTTCATAAATCAAATGTTTTTCAAACATTAATGAACTTAATAAAATAATTATTTTTATTCAGTACTCACTATAATTGACACACTGTATTCTGACACATTTCATTGCCACCCGAAATTCACACACCAACCAAAATTAGTACATGTTCATCATTTGTTGCCTAAAGCATTTCAGACCCAGCCATTACACGACCTGCTTTCCTGAACTCTTTTTTTTAACATCTGCACTCTTGGTCCCTCAATCCAGCAGTGCCGCATGGATACAGGACACACCCTAAAACTCACTCTCTCTCACACTCCACAACCCCAAGAGTTTCACTGACAGGATGCAGAGAGCCCTGCAGTGCGTTTCACCATCCTCCCTGACCTTCATTCATGTCCTTACTGCAGAATTACTTGGCCACACCCTTCTCACAGCCTGTGAATCCTTGATTGCAAGCGTGTTGAAACTGGCAGGTGATTCCTGCCAATTAGAACAAGATAGAACAGAGCAGATCTTCAATGGACATCACATTAACAGACGTTTTAGACAAACATACATCACTCAATAAATTAGCAGATCAGTTCCAATCTGACTGGGTGAAGTGATGCAGAAATTATTTTGATCTATCACAAAGTCTAGGTACATTATTCTCTATTTTTCAATGTTTTTTTGCACAACCATTTGCATAACCATAATCAATCTTTTTCCCACTGAAATCTGATATTGTGGCATCTTACATAAACCATCCTGATTTTATTTATTAATATTTCAAGATATAAAAATGAAATTGTGATTGGTTGATTCGGACAATCTTGTGCAATCTGCAATTGTGTTGACCAGAATTTCAAAATTCAAACATCACGCATAATGCCACTGCTGTTTTGCATAATACCAGAAATGTACTGCTCATTTGCATACACCTTAGTAGCACTGCATTTAAAAAAAGTAAACATATCATTATAAAAATGAAAGCATTTTATTTCATCTTAAGATCATGTTGTCATCACAACTGACACAGATTACAAACTATCACAGTTTTTGAAAGCTAGTTTTCAGATCGAAAAAAGAAAATCAGAAAATTATAACACCTACGGGAAAAAAAAAACAAATCAAGAACTATAAAAAAAAAAAAAAAAAAAAATTGAAAAAAAAAAAAAAATTTAATCTCCAAGTACCATTTCAAAACATAATTTAAACACCTTTTTCCTTTACACAAAATCAAGCAGACAAATGAATTTGAAACAGTTTTCTTTTAAATAGAAGACATGTAATCATTTTGCCATGCAGTGGATGTAACATTAAATATTAATTAAAAAAATAATAATATACTTCTCTCTTTTTTTATAATTGTATCCAGATCATATAGATAATATATAGATATTTTATATTCAAGTCAAAACACTCACCCTCCCTTTATAGGGAAACAAGCTAAATTAAAACATTTACCACAAATATAATCTAACAATGCTTATTTCAGCAAAACCATTTTGGCACAGAAAACCACACATAATGCCAGCAGCATCTGCTTTGTAAAAAGACAAGGAAAGATTTGAGAAGCTTTTGTCTGATTTTTTTTCCCGGTTTAATAAAAAAAAAAAAAAAAAAAAAAAAAAAAAATTCTTTGAACGGCTTTATTCCTTTTTCTGTGCATCGCTTTAGTCCAGGAGAGAGAGTGTATGTGCATCTCCTGAGCAATTGCTTGAGGCCAGTGGTGTGTGTGTCCCAGAGTTTAGTTGCTACTGCAGCATGCTTTTAATGGTCTTAGTGGTTGACTCATCATTAAGATGTTTTGTTGTGTACCTGCACAGAAGACATTAAGTAATAATTATATTTACCGCAGTATTTTGCAGTATCATGTCAAGCTTTCTTTAGCACTGTTGCAAAAAAAACATGCAGTGCTAAAAAAAAAAAGAAAAAGAAAAGAATCTTTGCATATGTCATGGAATATTCATCACATTAAACCACTAAAGAAAATATGAGGAACAAAATCTAAATGTGTCTTCATGGACAAGTGCAGTTGACTGATATGATATTAATATGGTAAGATTTTATATAATAATATTCATGAAAAAAAAAAAAAACAAAAAAACAAAAAAAGAATAACTAGCAGGATTGACAAAGTTAATTTTGGAAAATACCAACTGATTCGTGTTTAAAACACTGTAAAATAACGAGATTTACTGTATGAGACTCTAAATGTTGGCTTGTTGAATAAGGTACCTGAGAGCATTTAGAAGACCTTCCACACTGTTTGGTGGCTGATCTCTGAGCACTTTAATGCAGCCTTTCATCTGTTTGGGGAAAAAAGCAACCATGGTTAGAGTGGCAGAGTAATGACAGCACTCAAATTCATGAGTCATGATGCTGTGAGAGAGCCATCACCATGTTTTCTAAGCACTATGATTATAAGTCAGTGGGGGGAGGGAAAAAAACTTCAGAGATGGGATTGCAGTAACGGGAGATGCAAACCCGGGAAATGGGAAATAGATGTGTTTCACTCACGTCTATTTTGGAGGACTTCGCGAATGCGCCGACGGGATGGACGTAGTCGTAGAGGATGATGACCCCCACCATGACACGCAGACAGAAAGAAACAGTCTCCTCACTGCTGAAGCGGCTGCGATACTCTCTGTATCCAAACAAAATTACAGAATAAGCAATTTTTTACATTTTTTTTTTATATTTGCCTACCAATTTCTAGTACATTGTTCTTGTTTAATACACCGCAAATTTTATGGTGTCATCAGACAGATGAGAAAATGGCAGACTTACGGGGTTTCCAACATAACTTTGCACACGCTCGCCATGGTGCTTAATACATCTGTTGTGTTTTCAATGGGCAAGTTTTTATTCTGTTGGGCAAAAGCGAAAAATTATTTATTTATTTATAAGTTATTTATGAAAATGTCACTGAGAACTGATTTGAAATGTTTTTATTTACCTCAGATACAAATTTTGTTGTGCCATCACTTAATGTCTTTAGCATGGGTGTGGCATCAGCATAAAATAGAGATATCCGATTGGCCAGCTCATTATTCACCTCGTTTTCTCCCTCTGCCTACAGGGACAGACACCAAAAACATTCTGAATGAAGTAAAGCAAGGAGAACATAGATTCTTCTTTCTGAACAGTTTCTCAGAACTTATCACAGTCAATGCCTCATGAAAATGATTAATAGAAGACCATAAAGAGAACAATATGAAGATTCATAAGCATTGAAAGGTTTTTTTCCCAATTTTCCCCAATTTCTCAGGTGAAAAATCTGTCAAAAATGCTATACATCATTATTGTACTAAATATTAAAAAATTAATCCTTCAGAAATGGATGGTTGTTACTCAACACTTCTGCTTAAATGAGAAGGAATTGTATGTCAGTCAATTTTTGAGTTTGCAAAGCTAGCATCATTTGAGTAACAATGGAATATCCCGTAATACAGTCATTTTGGTTGACAGGTAAATGGGAGAAACAGTGAACTGGACAAGGATGGGAAAAGTAAAGACATCCCCAGACAAGGAAATTAAGCTTTAGTTCTTTCGCAAAATATGCAATGAATAATTAAAAATCTTTTCAGTGAAATTAAATCTGACTTAATTTACTTACAGTATTCTACTGAATAAAAAGGGTTACTTGAAAACATATTTCAAGCAAGCAAAAACATCAGCTTTAAAATGAGAACAGGCAGACAATTGCAAATTTGTTTTTATTTAATAAAATCTTTAATCTTTCAGTAAACTGCATACACCTGCACATTCTGTTGTGTCAAGTCTAAAAATACATTCATACATTAAGCAATAGTCTAAAATATTAGTGCAGATGTGGAGAGTGCTAGCTGGAGTGATTTATTTAGCTCTCGTACAGTAGTAGGGCCCTAGGGAGCCATGGTGGGGCTACTGAATTCAGTCTGGGAGAATATGAGGGGAAAACCAGCGCCACTTCACTAAACAAGGTAGGCAGACTGCACGGTGTCCCCCAGGGCTAAGTATGTGGCCCGCTCTCAGATCAGATATTTAGCTCTAGGAGGGCAGGACATCTCTGGGGAGGACAGGCATAAAAGCTGACCACAGATCAGGTGCCAAACTATATTGGTGCACCTCATTGCACTTCAGTGAGCATCTCAGAACTCACTCGCTCTCCCAGTGGGAGGCCATTTTCTGTTTGGGTCCTCAATAGTCCCCTGAGGGTTGGTATGTGCAAGTGGCTGAGTGCTTAAGTATGTGAGTGAGAAAAAAAAGGAAGTGTGTTAGTTATGTGAAAGGGGTTTAGATAAAATCGAGAGCTGCTTGTCAAAGGCGTATTTTTACTTTTAAAGTTAAAAAACAGGTGTAGATAAAATAAGTGAGGACAGAAGTGTAATACACAGAAAGGTGAATAGAAAGAGAGAAAGGGGGAGGTTGGGAAAGTCATAGCAATATAAAGGTGACAGTTTCAATTCTTGAGAAAACTCACAGGAACATTATTGATCCTCATGCGGCTCAGGGTCCTCCTGTAATAACTGAAGTCATTCTGAATGGCAGGATTTGTCATCTGCAAAAGAATGAAAAAACATGTCTTTAGTCAGTTGATCTACACTACTATTCAAAAGTTTGGGGTCAGAAAGACTTCCTTTAAAAAAAATAAAAAAAAGACACATTAAATGGATCAAAAGTGAAAGTAATTTATTATTTATTATTACAAAAGATTCTATTTCAAATAAATGTTGTTCTTTTGAACCTTCTATCAAAGAATACTGACTGAAAGAAAAAAAAAATGGTTTCCACAAAATATTAAGCAGCATAACTGTTTTCAACATTGATAATAATAAGAAATGTTTCTTGAGCACCAAATCAGCATATTAGAATGATTTCTGAAGGATCATGTGACACTGAAGACTGGAGTAATGGCTGCAGTCTTCTTTTAAATATTTTCAATCTCTCCTTTACAATCCTTGCTTGTGGGTGATTGCCAGACCATTGCTATGCAGTTGTTAAAATGTTCATATTGGTTTTTAGATGTATAATTGCAAGGGCATTGTCATGTTGCTATACTGTCCTATACTGTTACTAGCCACCAAGTCTCTTTAAGGTCTCTAAATGTGGTTCAATTTAAATCTATGGGATTATTTTCATCTGTTTTATCATCTGCCAGGTGGAAATCCTAAATCTGATCCCTTAGAAAAGTAATAGCACACCTCTCAAAGTTACATAACGAAGTTTAATACTCAAAGTTATGGGTTTTTAAACAACCCGTAACTCTAAGTATGAACAATAGTAATAGTGACGCTTGCCTTAACAAGAACCATTAATAAAATTAAATTGTGTATGCAAAGGTGTTTCAAAGGGAGGCAAATCTCCAGGTAATTGCTGGTGTGACAGGACTGAAGTAGTCAAATACAGTCTGGTAGCCTAGAAGGCGAAGAACACTTACAGGATTAGCTAAAGCTTTACGTAAATGACTACCAGTTCCTTTAGGTAATCAAAGCAATCTTTATCTGCCAGGACTTAGACAGTCTGGGACCCATGAATCCCCTATAGAATTACGGTTTAAACCTAAAGCGCACCACAAAAGATTTGTAGCTTGTGACAGATGGATAAATATACTCTAATGAAGAGTCATGTTCAATTTAGGGTTCAATGACAAATTCAGTGACAAAGGACGGGGCGCTCGTCAAGATGGCAGCAGAGACGGGTTAGAGGACAAAGTTCAGGGAGAAGAATGAACTCTAGGATTCGCAAGAGCAGAGGTCAACTATAATTATCCCAAATATTCAGTGAATTCTGAACAAGGATAGTGATTATTAATTCTGTAAAGCCTGAAATATGAAATAACAGTCAGAAAAATCTCATGTATTTGAAATGTAACAGTTTATTGAACCTTTAGACATATATCCTTATATATTTAGTTGAGTATCAACCTTGTGTATAACAGGTTTTTCAGCAAAGTTTTGATAATTTAGAGGCCTTAGAAATGAATGCATCAAATTATCCAGTAGGCTTTATAGGATTAATGATGGTTACATGGATAACTCTCAGAAAGAAGAAATCAAAACAATATCCTCAAATGACATCCTTGTCAACAAAACTAATGCAGTGCTGGTATTCAGTCGATTTAATGTCAGACTAGACAGCCCATCCTATCCCTGCAGTGTACGTTGCTACGGCATTGGCGGGCTGAAATAGGTCACTGCGCCAAGCTGAGAGGAGGGCATGGTTGGATGGAGGTTGGCATGCCACCTTACACCCCCTACCTTCTCACATTTAGCAACCCCATCTGGGGGGCTCTTTAATTGGGGCATCCTAGCTCCATGCCGCAGGGCATCGGGGTGTATGTGAATGTTTATGAAGAGCAAAACAGAAAGGCACTAGTGTTGGTGCTGAGATGAATAAGAAAACGGCTAGACAAAACATTATTTGATTTTTTTGGACACATAACCCGAGACAAATGAGGTGGTTTACTGTTCAGTGATTTAGGGTTGTTTGAGTGTCTGAGGTTCTGACATGGTCAGAGGAGTGTGTAAAAAAGCACACTATAGCTCAGCATGCTGCTGTCTTGACATATACACTTTTAAGTGTCCGTTCTGCATTATTAATTTGATGTAAAAGAAACAGCAGCTGTTTAAGCAGAGAATAAGAGAATGAGGAGAGCGACAGCTCAAAAGCTAATTTTCTTGTGATCTTAAGTGTCGAGAAAGGTTTGGCAAGCACCTGGGACAGTGAAAACTGGCACGTGCAATTGAAAAGTAATTATTTTCTCATTAGCTGGTTTCTAATCACGATTAGCATGTCATTAGAAAGAAGTGGAAGCTTGTTAAGGCATCACATCCTGGTCAGTCTCATCAACCGCATGGTAATGTGTAATAGCAGGCTGCATGTTCAAATTCTGCTGACTTACAGTAAATGGTGAGCTCATCTTTTAACCATGCATTTCATTTGACTACAGAACATTAATGAATAACTTCTCCTCACACCTATTTTACATAAAGAAAATTAAGCATGTTTTTAGGTCCATTAAGTTTGATAATGAAACTATGCATTTCATTTGACTACAGAACATTAATGAATAACTTCTCCTCACAGACCTCATATTTTACATAAAGAAAATTAAGCATGTTTTTAGGTCCATTAAGTTTGATAATGAAACATTATTATGTATATTATTTTCATAACAATCAGGAATTAGGAATATTTTCCAAAATTTTTTCCCTAAATTTTGATTACAGTGCTACATCCGGATGTTTACAATTAATTTGTATATATTTTTTTTTTTTCATAATTACTAATATTCTCATTAGTGATTCTCATTAAATTCTCAATAATGTAATTTTTTTAAGCCATCATAAATTAAAGTCAATATAATACTACCAATATAATACCAATATGCATTAATATTTTCTTTTCGTATTTTTTTATTATGGTAATAATAATTCAGAGGGCTGGAAAGTTCTAAACAATATTTGTAATAAATACTAAAAATTTTAATGATTCAACAACTAGGCTTAATTTTATTTAAATATAAATATAATTTTTATTTCTTATTATAAGACTCAAACATGTTCTTGACAGGTTTCAGGTTTCATGAGATTCAAACCAATTACTTTTGACCTGTATTGTGTCAGCCCTAGTATTAGTACACATCCAATGCTAAATAAACAATCATTTTAAATGCAAATTAATTCATCGACTGACTCGGTGAAAATAAACAGGATAAACCTGTATCATGTATAATGGTCTTTCATTTATGCAATGACTGCAACCAATAAATACAAATAAATAATGATATCTAAAACCATTATCATCACGTAACAAAGGAATTTTTATTGAGGTATAATATTGAGGAATGGTCCTCACCTTGAGCTCATCAAAGCGCAGTGTGAAGTGCAGGATCTCAGCGAACTGTTTGGCGAGGGCTTGCTCTCTCTCCAGATGCTGTGTGGGGTCATCGTATGTCTCACTAGTGAGTGCTCTCAATAGACTATGCAGCGCTGCTTCTGTAGAGTCACACAATGGTCAGTTAGGGTCAATTAGGTTCTCATTGAGTGCAACACATTTTTTAACAATAATATATCTTTTTTTTTTTACCAATTATAAACATCCACCCACTGATGAGTTAACTATATCTCATTATAACCAGGTAACTATAACTCATTAATGGATGGTTGTTTTTCAACTAAATGTTGTATAAAACAGCCCACATATATTGTTTTTTTAAACAATATACTGTTTAGATGCTGACATATTGATTCATACTGCCCGCAGACCAGGGGGCTGTTTCATAAAAGACGCTAAGAAAACCGGGGATTAAAGTCCAAAAGCTGACTTGAAATAACCTAACAAATCAATCGGGACTAAAGCGGTTTCATAAACGACAATTTAAATTCACGCAATCTCACTAATTCGATCCAGGTTCAATGAGTCAGGATAATTTGATGTGCACGCTTATTCTTAAGCAGCCCTTAATGTCGATCATGGATCAAAACGATCCACCATGGCAAACAGCGAATATTTGTGCTGTTTAAGGCATTTGAGATGTTGTGTTTTCCTCAGTGCATAACTGACACCTCACAGGTATATTTTCCATCTGTAAATGTTAGAAAGTCATGCAAATATAACCATTTTGCTGTCAGGAATAGGCGAGGCTTCGTGAGTGAATGAGCGCTGCTGCGCGCATGCGTGCTACACAGATGGAACACAATAGAATAATAGCGCAATAATTCTGAATAAAATATGCATTCTGCTAAAATATTTGTTGTTGGACATTAAATGTGACATGTAGAATTTTAATCCTACATATAAGTGTATTTTTATCATAGCAGTAACTGTAAATCAAATGTAAGCTGGCTAATACAGCCCTACTATCTCAAATGAGTTAAATGTGTGTTCCTCTTATCAGTTAAAATGTAGTCTAATTTCTATTATTTATTTTCATTTTTTAATCAGTGGTTTTAACTTTTAATTTTGTGTTTTTAATGCTTTAATGAGCAATTTTAGATTGTAATGTTTTAATGTTCTACTAATAACCATAAAAGGTACAGCCGTCATAAAATCTGAGAGAAAGGCTGCACGGCTAGAAACTGCTGATCAACTGAATGTGCAAGTAGCAACTATGTTAAAATGTTTTCATATATCTTAAAAAAAAAAAAAGGTCATTACATTTTGGGCACAATACATGAAATACAGTTGGTTGTAGCCTATCTTTTATTTATTTGATTATTTAAGTTGCATTATGTTTTTATTTTTGGTCTAATAATAATGTCAACTAATTGTATGTGAGAGAGTCAGTGGTAATATAAATGCGTTCCTATTGGTCAGTGTTAGAGGAGCTCAGCTTAGCCTGACAGTTAGCCTGCTCCAGACCAGATTAGTTTCCCAGCATAAATTGCCAGAGTGACTGAGCTTGAGCTATGGTAATTTTGCTTTATGAAACCAAATCAAGTGAAAATAAGTCAGACTGAAATAAGCCTGGCTTATTTGGACACAAAAATCTACTCTTACATAAGGCCTAATCTGAAGTTTCTCGATGTTCTTTACTAACACACAGTGATGTTTTAAGCCTCAGTAGACAGCTCGATGACTTGAGAGGCTGTTCTTAACCCACAATTCCCATTCTCATTCTCTCCATTGCTCTGTTGTTGCAATATTGTACACAGCAGCATGTTAGAGTAATTATATTACATAAGAGTCAGCCCAGCAGCCATAAATCAGTTTATGGTTGAGGTACGGTTGAGGTATGATCTCAGTCTGGCCGCATCAACCCAATTTTTAATCCTGATCTCAATTACAAGTCTTAAAATATACATATAAACAAAACCAAACAGAGTTGCCTTTGAAGTGATTCATGTTTCGCTGTTGCTAGTATTACAAAATTGTACAAGAAACTCCTACTGCATGTTGAAAGAGAGCAATGGAAAGAAAAAAAAGCGATGGTTGGGTGATGTAGCTTTAGATCCATGTATCAACAACAGTTGATGAACTGAATTAAGTCTGATCTGAGAGATCAGACAATTTTTGGGTTTTTCAGCTTTGTTTTTATTGGCTCATTTGGAAATTGCAGTAATCAATCCCGTCTGAAGGTAAACAGAGGGTAGCTTTGTCTGTTAACTTATTTATTCCCATATGGACTTGAGAAACCAAGAGCTTTTAAGTTTTTCATAGTCAAGCCAATATAGCCATACAGGCTGCTCTCCACATCGGAGTGAGAGAGAGAAAGAGACAGGGAATTTTCAGGCTGGTGACTCAAGCTGCAGCAGTATGTAGAGTAAATTGAGCAGATTTGCCATACGGTAATGACCTCCATCTGCTTTAGTCAGCTTGGCAGGGCAGAGGAGCTGATTAAAAATGGCCATGGAAGCACACTATTCTCCTCCCAGTCAAAACAGAGCTTGAGATGAGCGGCTTTTAAGGGCACATGCTGAGAATGGAGTGTGAGGTGAGGATGGCAGATCAGAGGAAAGTAGGGCAGGGAGAGGGACTGCAAGAGAGAACAACTAAGATATGTAAGTAATGTTAAAATGTATACACTGAGGAATAATGATAATAATAGTTTGAGATGAACCAGTAAAACAAAACTACACAAACAAACCACCAAAAATAAATAAATAAATAAAAAAATTGAGGAAAAAAAAATTTGAGGTAAAATAATGTGCAGTGTAATATATATATATATATATATATATATACAGGTGCATCATTTATTGAGATGCACCTGTATATATAATTTATGCAGGATGCCAAGCAATGGTATGACCAAACTACATTCAAAAATGTATAATTTAAATAAATAAATAATAAAAGTATTAAATGAAAATAAAATTGTAATTATTAATGGACTTATCTCTTTAGTATGATTTTATTGTGAATCAATCACGAAACCTGACACTCTGCTCTGCAAGTCTGTCCTTGTCTGGAGACTCGGACAGACTCGTCAGAACGCAGCAGCAATCTTTCAAGCTGTTAATACAATTATAACACCACTGACAACCAAAGGTTCAAACTTTGAGTTAATATGCACAGACGAGAGCACTACATGCCAAGTGATCAGGGTAGTTAAGCGAAGCATGTCAAGCATGAGGGCTTGCGCCAAAAGCCGGTTTAGTGTTCTGGAGCGGAAAGCGCGGGAAAGCAAGATGACCCAGTTCGGCGAGTTACGTAACATATGGCAGACGCCTGGCCTGCACTCATTGACTACAAGTTCAGAAGCCATTACTGATTTAAAGTGCAGGGTATCAAGGGCTACAGGGCAAGACCACCACAAACCTTGGTCTTATTGAGATGCTAACATTCCTGTATTTTGATGGGCAAAACAGCTAATGCTAAGGAAGCCATATGATCTGAAGTATTAAGATACCATGGCCATTTTTCTCTATGCATATCTGTGAGAGGTTTGTAACATTTATGGCAGGGGTCCCCAAACTATGGCCAAATGCCAAAGACATATTTTGAAAATTTAATTTTAAATATGTTTTACTCGTATCTGTATTTGATAATAAAGGTTGGCTTTCAGACAAAAATTTCCCTTAGTTATTAACATAGCCTAATTATTGGTTAGATTCATCCACCAACAGAATGGTACATTCAACAAAACATTCCATCGTGATCAAGCAGGTGCTACTGCATGTGAGCCAGCAAGAAAATTCAAACAGACAACAAAATGGCCAAATATCTGTATTTGATAATAAAGGTTGGCTTTCAGACTAAAATTTCCCTTAGTTATTAACATAGCCTAATTATTGGTTAGATTCATCCACCAACAGAATGGTACATTCAACAAAACATTCCATCGTGATCAAGCAGGTGCTACTGCATGTGAGCCAGCAAGAAAATTCAAACAGACAACAAAATGGCCAAACGGTTGAAAAAGAGAAAAGTTGATTCAGAATGCAGGGTATTTAACCAAAAGTGATACATTTTTTGTTCAATGCAAAGAAATGTCTGTTTGTCTCATCTGTAAAGAAACTGTGTCTGTGTTCAAAGAATACAATCTGCGCCGACACTATGAAACCCGCCACAGAGACAAGTATGCAAGCTTGCAAGACCAAATGAGAGCAGACAAAGTGTCGAAGCTAAAAATTTGACTATCAGCTCAGCAGAATACGTTTGTATGCCAAACCCAGGTGAACCAGTCATCCGTTTGAGCTAGTTTTCAGGTAGCTAAACTGATTGCAACCAGCGGTAGGTCATTCAGTGATGGTGAGTTCGTCAAGAAATGTATGAATGCTGTTGCGGAGAAGGTGAGCCCCAATAAGAAAGACGTCTTAAAAGCAGTGAGTCTCTCCGCAAGTACAATCACCAGACAAATTGAAGAAATGGGGGATAATGTATATGCCCAGCTGCAGGAGAAAGTGAAAGAATTTGAATTTTTTGCATTAGCACTGGATGAGAGCAATGACGGCACAGCTGCTAATTTTTCTTCGGGGAGTTGGCTCAAACTTTGAAGTGTCCGAGGAGCTGGTAGCCCTACGAAGTCTCAAAGGTACTATGACAGGGGGGGGTTTATTTTATTTTTGGTAAAGTGTGCCAAACGATAGGAGAGTTAGATCTAGACTGGTCTAAGCTGGCCAGCATCACGACTGACGGGGCTCCTAGTATGGTTGGCGCGCCGAGGGGGCTTATAGGATGCATGAATAAAGGAAATGGAGGAAAGAGGTCTAACCCCCCTATTACAAGTCCACTGCCTGATTCACCAGCAAGCACTCTGCTGCAAAGTTCTGAAGTGGGAATTGGTCATGAAGGTTGTGGTGTCATGTATAAACTTCATCAGAGCAAATGGACTTAAACACAGGCAGTTCCAAGCCTTTCTCTCTGAGCTAGAGTCTGCTCATGGAGATGCGCTTTACCACACAGAAATCCGATGGTTAAGCCGGGGCAGAGTTTTGAGGCATTTTTACGAGCTGCTACCCGAAATATTCACCTTTCTTCTGACAAAGGGCAAACTGTCCCAGAACTGATTGACGCAGAATGGAAATGGGACCTGGCCTTTTTAACAGATGTGACAGAAATATTGAACGGCCTCAACTTGCAGCTCCAAGGCAAGGGGAAGCTAATATGTGACATGTATTCCCACATAAAAGCATTTGAGGTGAAACTAGCACTGCTTGTGGGACAAGTGCAAAAGCAAGACTTCACCCATCTCCCCGTTACCCAAAGCCTCTCAGCTGAGAATCCAGTGGCCCCATTCCCAGCTGAAAAGTCAGTGGAAGTGCTGGAAATGCTAAAGGCGGAGTTTGATGTCCACACTAAAGAAATCTGCCTTTTCCAGAACCCCTTTGCTGCCGACATTGACGAAGTCCTGCCTTCTTATCAGTTTGAGTTGGCTGAGTTACAGAACTGTGATGTTCTGAAAGATGTGTTTAATTCATTGAATTCTATGCTGCCCTCCCTAACGACACATACCCAAACATCAAAAGGCATGCAATGAAGATGTCCACACTTTTTGGCAGGACGTATATCTGTGAGCAAACCTTTTCATGCATCAAACTGATGAAAACTCAGATGAGATCAAAACTCACTGATGAACAATTGCATCAGTCTTTGAGACTGGCTGTGACAGGAATGGAACCTGACATTGGACTTCTCAGCAGCCAGAAGCAAGCCCCCAGTTCACACTGATTAATATGCACAAGTAAGTAAATGTTTCGATTTCAATAGAAATGAATATATAAAAAATGTCATTATGACAGTAATAATGCTATTTTAATAGGCTATATGTCTCTTGAAAAGTAATGCTCAGTTGTCTGTATGATGCATAACAAAATAATAAACTAATCTAACACTAGGAGGCATAATAATTACACTTAAAATCATCATAAAATCTCCACAATAATACTGGTAGTCACTCCGGCCCATGTAATTTTCTGTTACAGACCGATCCAGCCCCCCATTAAAGAAAGGACAAATTATGTGGCCCTCACAGAAAAAAGTTTGGGGACCCCTGATTTATGGGGGTGGTTCACTGGTTTTTTTCTAGGCTTGATTGTGTTTATGGGGTGCAGTGTAACATGTGTTAATGCTTTGTTTTAAAAAAAAAAACACATACATTTTTAACATAATTTACCTTTATTCCACACCGCTCTGTCCCTTCTCTGAGAAACGCGCTGATCATTTCCTGCTTTTATGAAGCCCCTCCCTCAGAAATAGGCGATGGGCTCTGATTGGTTAGTTAGCCCAGTGTGTTGTGATTGGCTAAACCGCCTCTAGTGCGAGTCTAAACGTCCCCCCCCTCACCTCAGCGGTATGTGCTCTGGTTGTATTGTAAACAACGGCGTCGTTTATATCGCTTATCAATTTGAGCCCGATTGAGAAGCAGAGGATATTATTGAAGAGTATCGTGTAGAACCTGTGCAAGCACAGCTTTTAATGGTAGGCCTATGTTTTTTGCTTGTTGTTGTCTCATACTTTTAGATACGCTGTTATTTGTAAATGCTACTGCTTATGTTAGCTTTTAATATACAGTTTTATCCTGATTAAAGCTTTAATACAGTACAGCAACCCTATCCGTCAGCTAGTGTGTTACCCCAAACATTGTGTTTTGTGTGAAAGGACCAGCTTTGGTACTTTCCAGTGGCTGCTCAGGTGTTATTGTGTTTGCACACAATGTGTTAGTGTGCATTTAATTTGTAAGATGTTTACAGCTCAGAAAAACTGATTTAAACAAATACTGCCAATGGCTGTTAAGCACATTTAAAGAAACAGTTCACCTAAAAATTCCAAACCCCAAATTCCCAAACTTATTATGACAAGCACTTATAAATCAGCTACTGTCAACAACAAAAAAAGAAGCTTTAAGAGCTGCCCCCCTTTCACTTTCATAATATGGAAAAGAGCAGCCTGGATAATCTGCTAAATATATCCTTTTGTGTTACATAGAAAAATCATTCAGGATTGGAATGACATCAAGGTAAATAAATGATGCCAAAATGTTAATGTAGAAGGTTTCTGCATAACTACTTCTGTTATGAAAAACAGGCTAATGTACCTAATCTCTGTGAAAATTCGTAGAACTTCTTTAGTTTGCCTACTAGTGGCACCACAGCAGCCCACGCCTGGTCTTGTAATGCCTCGTCATTAGGGTTCTGAATTGCCTGAAAAAACAAACACAACATCTTAATAATACAACATCTGGCGAGTTATAAACAACGTTCCCACAAGTCTAAATGGAACATATTATTTTATGACCGTATGAGGTTGTGTTAGAATTATGTATGTGAGATGAGGTTTTTAAATGATGTGCTCATGAGGGTGGCAATTTGAGGATGTAAATGATGTCAAATCCCAGCACACAAGAGGTTTGAAGGTTTTTTCATTATGTTTTTCCATTATGACACTGGGCAGAGCATCTAGTCAATGTTTTTTTCTCTCTACCTCAGTGTGCTTTTGAATTTCCAAATACATGAGGCTCATTAATATAATTACTGAGTGAGCTGACATAAAAAAAGGAATACGCCGCGTTCTGTTGAGTGAATTAGAAAAAATAAATAAAAGAAACATTCACTTTCATTCTGCAGAAGACGCCAGTCCATGGCAACTGTATCTGTATAGCAACAGTATCCGTGGCAACAAGAGTATCAATCACACTGACACTTACTCATACAGAGGCGTGACTGAGCAGAGCAGAGAATTTCGAATCATACAAACACACTGTGAGACGTTTTAAAGCCACCGATATTATTCCTTTAACTCATTTTTTGTGTGAATTATTTGCATACTGTAAGGAGACAATTTTGCATGAACAACTTTATAAGTACATACGTATAAGTCAAACATCAGCAGATCTCTGTTATATTGAGAGTGTGCCTATACCTCTCGTATCTCTTGGCCCGCGCCTTTATATGCCTGTAGTTCGTCAAGTATTCCCAGTGCATCCTTCAGGACCACATCCACTTCTTCCCACGTTTCCCGCTCTGCTTCTGTTGGCTGGGCATCTGGAGGAAGAGAGAGAGAGAGAGAGAGAGAGAGAGAGAGGGAATAAATGGAGTAGATTTCAAGGTATTTAATCAAAAGGTCTTTCAAGGGCACATTTATTCAGTGTCTGACACATTAAAAGTGAATATGCAACTCATGAAACAGAAATCAGAGCTTTATAGAGAATGAGGCAAGATTAAAATGAAGGAAATAACAAAGAAAGAGTATTTGGTGACACTTTGCACAATATATTTAACCCTGTGCATGTGCTGATACTATGGGCAAATTCCACTATTACTATAGAATAGTGAGTACACTGAAGAAAGGGTTTTACTGTAAAAGTACTCTTTTGAACTTTCCATTCATCTAAGAAAAAAAAATGTATCATAGTTTCCACAAAAATATTAAGCAGCACAATTGTTTTCAACATTCATAATAACAGGAAATGTTTCTTGAGCCCCAAATAAGCATATTAGAATGATTTCTGAAGGATCATGTGATACTGAAGACCGTAGTAATGGCTGCTGAAAATTCAGCTATGCCATCTTAGAAATAAATTACATATTAAATTATAATAAAACAGAAAACAGTTATTTCAATTTGTTTTGTTATATTATTTCACAATATTACTTATTATTTATACAATATTACTTAATTAATTTTTGATCAAATAAATGTAGCCTTGATGAGAATAAGATAATTCTTTTAAAAACATTTAAAAATACCAACACCAAAATAAACATCTCTTCCATTTTATTTTGTTCTAAATGTAACCGTAATAACATTGCAGTAAAATTCATATTTATGTCTAATTGCTGGGGCAATTAAATGTTTGTGTTAAATATTACTTTGTTTCTTTTATTAAAAGTTTACTTCAATTTTGAAAAACCATTGCATTAAAAAAATTACCACCCAGGATAATATAAACTACAAAATTAGATTTTTGAAGTGACCACTGTAAATAGACTTCACTAGCAGACATTTTATTAAGTGATTTGGTTGCTCACATTCGTTTGGATTGACCCTACAAGTAGTTATATACAGTAGTTTGTACACTTATATAGTTTGGACTTGGAACTTGAACTTTGGATATACACAGTCCAAACTTGACCTCACTATCAGCTGAATGTTGTGCAATTCATAGGCCATGCAGACTTCTGCTGAACATCTCCATTTGTGTTCCAAATCAAACTGGTTGGCAAATGATGACAAAATTCAAATTCTGGGGTGAATTACTCACTGGGGATCCTAAAGAGTATTTGAGTCAAATCTCCACAGCTGAGCCTGTTTCATATATTTTAAAGGCAAAGTGTGGAATTTTAAATGGTGGAAACTTTAGGCCCACATCTGAAGAGAAACCTCAATGAGACATTGGCAGCTGTTAACTACAGCTGGCTTCAAATGCAGATTAAGAAATTAAGGGCCACCCTTTCTCACCAAGCATTCAGATGCCACATATTAAGAGTGTAATGATCTCTCAGCTTTTTCGTCTTTGTATGTTTTCGTATTGATACAGTAGGTCCTGCTCCAGTGCTTTGTCTCTTGGAGTCTCTCGCACGCCAGCCCTCTTTATTAGTGTTACATAACACTTGAGCAGACACTATAGGAATTTTTCTTATATGCGTCCGACTGATGAGCCATGAATGGGTCAACGGTTTCGAGGTGACTCCATATCACCCCCGCTGTCTTTCTTCAAAGGAACAGCTATGTGACTAAAAATGGAGACAAACATGGTAGGATGGAAATGTTCTGTGGGCAAGGGTAATAAAAGCCAGGAAACTCTTATTTTCTACAGTCTTCTTTTCTTTGGTTCATTCACCTTCCTTCGCTTTGGAGAGGGTTTTTGGGTTCAAACAAATGAGATGGTAGCAGATTGTGTGTGGTTCATGAACTAGTCTCCAGGGGAAAGGAGTTAAATATATTATCAAGACCCAAAAAGGGAACTGGTATTTTTTACAAGTTGACCGGGTAATGACTTACACCAAGTCTCCCAGAATCCCAATTCTCAAACATACCAAAAAGAACACGTGAGATACTAAACTAGTGCATTTTGAGGTAAGCTTTGAGAACGAAGGATTGTTTACAGCTAATAAATGAAAGAGAGCTGATGGAAAGGGGAGAAATATCTCACTTTCAAAATCGAGGAAGAAGTTGGGCTCTTGTTCAAGATCTGTGCATGTCAAAACTTTAAGGAGGTTCCCCATGACAATGTACCTACAGGGAAAAAGAAAGACAGAGTTAAGTCACATATTCTGAACAGAAATCATAAATCTGATGGTCATATCCAGGTGGGGCAGCACTTAACAGCCCTACTTTGATTCTATCATGGCACTAATCTCCCCTGTTATCAGTCAAGAAACCATCGCCCTTTCAACCAACAGTCGACGCTCCTTCCCTTTACCCCACAGCTTCCACTCTCCAGACGCAGTGGTTTTCCTGTGCAGGGTCTTGGGTTGACCAGATGTCACTACTGTATAACCCCCCTCCTGCAGCACACACACAGAGTTACGGGAATCCCTGCGCTTTGGTGGCCAGTGCCAACCGTGCATGTCATGCCTACTGCTCACGTTCAGTTCCCTATTGAGGGGCCCCAAGCTTTCAAAGTCAAGATTTAGGAAGTAGACTAGTGTTTTTAGATGTAAAAATAGTTCTCCAAAACCATTCATTCTCTTGGGATAACTGAGACTACTGGGTTTAACATTTTGCGTTTGCAAAACGTGAATAACAGTAGACATGGGTGAAGTAGAGAAGCAAGGTCAAACTATCCTTCCATACAGCAAAATCGAGGAAGGAAAAGTCACATTCCAAAGACGTTCAATAGAGGGGTCATTTCATATCAAACAGTACTTTCTATGTTCTTTTAAAATAAAAGTTAAACGTACTATGCTCTTCCCTTCCCCAGTCCACAAAGAGCATTTATGGTAAACAGTTCTTGTGACACTGTCACAACCATGGGCTCATTTAGGGCTGCACGATTAATCGAATGCGATTGTCATGCGCATTTTGTTAGTAAAGCCGGTTCTGTAATCAGCAGGAAATCATCATCACGTGCTTTCAGATGGAGCAGAATTTACTACACATAGCCGTAGTTCACCAACAAGTTACACAAAAAAATCGCAGCTGTTTGCATAGCTTCTCAGTGAACTACGGCTCTGTGAAGTAAATGCTGCTCCATCTGAAAGCATGTGAAAATACCACATTTAATAACACATTTTTACTCCAAACTCACTTCATAACGTCAGTCGAGTGTTTGAAATAAATCCTTCTGTGAGATGATGTGGCTTCTTACACAGAATAAGGCACGCAACATATGTCATAGTATTTCTCTTAGTTCTGCTGTCGTTTATTTACTTTTTGAAAATTATTTCTGATTTTTTTTTTAGATAACCGAGTATGTTATACTTTGATATGTAGGATATAATAATTCATAAGACCGTTTAGCAGGTACTTTTAGCAAGTACTTACGTTTGGCATTTTCCACTGCCAGTCTTAAAATGGTCTTTCGGGAAAATCGTTAAAAAGTAAAAAATTAAGAAAAAAACCATTGAAATAAAATCGTTCTGGATAAGGGTACCGTATCACTGTTTAATCATGTTAACGTTACTCCTATTTAAGCAAATGCTTTTATATTAAAGTGAGGAAAAATAAAAACCGAATGTATCTATTAAATTAAGTCATGCTAATAGTGTAGTAAACCGTGATAAATTGATTATGTAAGGCCACCCCCCCAACCCCCCAGAACAAAATGTTAGTTCTGCCCTGAATTCGTGCCATTATTTGTGGTTGACAGAGCTGCCTTCAAACTTTTCTGGTTGACCAACGCAAGTGAGGTGCAATTAAATACTTAACTTGCTAGAGCATAGTGCTATCACAAACAAGTGGGATTTCTTTGGAGTTTTGTGTGGCGTTTAATAAATCTTTCAGAAGCCTAAAGCATTCATCTATGATCTCCGCTAGGGCTGCACGATTAGTCGAATGCGATTGTCATGCGCATTTTGATAGTAATGCCGGTTCTGTAATCAGCAGGAAATCATCATCAGGTGCTTTCAGATGGAGCAGAATTTACTACACATAGCCGTAGTTCACTGACAAGTTACGCAAAAAAAATCGCAGACGATTTTATTGCGCGATTCTGAAATCGAAGAAATCGTTCTCGATAATGACAGCTGTTTGCATAGCTTCTCAGTGAACTACGGCTCTGTGAAGTAAATGCTGCTCCATCTGAAAGCATGTGAAAATACCACATTTAATAACATATTTTTACTCCAAACTCACTTCATAATGTCAGTCGAGTGTTTGAAATACATCCTTCTGTGAGATGATGTGGCTTCTTACACAGAATAAGGCACGCAACATATTTCATAGTTTTTAAGCAGTGATAAAGGCATTGCATTATAAATATACTTTATTTTAATGAAAATTATAATAAGAACTCAGATAAACCGTATATTGCCGTAGTCGTGTGTTTATTAGTCACGTTGAATTAATGAAAGCAGTTGAATCTTCTGTTTATTCAGCTGCAGTGATAGGCATTTCCTGGGTTTCTTCTGCAAGGCGTATTTGGAGTTTCAGCGCGAGAGTGCCCTCTGGCCTTTGGATGGAGATTTACTGCTGATCACAGAACCGTGCTTCACTGAAAGATACGTATGACAATCGCAGCTTCTGTCCAATCGCGATCTCGATTCCATTTCGATTTATCGTGCAGCCCTAGGCTCATTTACATAGGATCACCTACCTATTTAGTATTTAGCAGCTTGGACTACCTAATGAATAATAGTGTGAGCAACACTGCCTCGGCCTGTTATTCACGATCGAAAAAGAAAATGAAAAGACATAACAGCGAATAACTTGAGACAATTACAACAATAAACGCCTGTGCTGACGAGCGTTTGTCTAAAAAATAAGTATAAAACTTTCTAGTGCATTGTTGAGCACCTGTGTTCCCCACGCTATCAAATGGAGTGTACTATGAAAGACTATGTGCTTGTGTTCAGATGAACGCCTGTGCTAAGTAAACTCAAAACTAAAGTATACTTTGGGCTTTAGGATGACGTCCCAAAGAGTGTAAACAAGAGTTGAGCAGTCCAACACAGTAACTTGACTCAAGTGACTCAATCAATGGTGTGAGTTTCAGGATGAACCGTTTGCAACAATGGAAAATGGGGGACCTGCTTAAAAGCGTCACTATATTTGCAACTACGTCTGGTGATGCATGTTACGCTATGACTGACATGGAAAGTTGACTGCTAATGCTACAGACCTGTACAATATTGCTCCAATACACTTTAAGTTATATACAGTGGTGTGAAAAAGTTTTTGCCCCCTTCCTGTTTTTTTAATTGTTTGCATATTTGTCACACTTAAAAGATTCAGATCATCAAACAAATTTTAATATTACACAAAGATAACCTGAGTAAATACAAACTGCAGTTTTGAAATTATGATTTAATTTATTAAGGGAAAAAAGCTGTCCAAACCTACCTCCCTACGTGAAAAATTATTTGCCCCTCCTCTTAAATCATGAAAGAACTGTGATTAACCACATTATTTTAGAAAG